AACCTACAAAATGTGGTGCACACTGAATAACCCGCTATGCTTTTGGTTTTGTTATCTTCTACAAATTGTTCCTTTACCTGATAAACCAATCAAATTAACAGATGCAAATCAACAGATGATGCTTATGACCTACCATAAGGACTACATTATTTCAGACATAAAAAAGACTTAAAAGAGGCATGAAACAAACACAAAGTTCTATTACATTTTTCTGATCAGCTCATAGACATATATGCGGGTTATTCAGTGTGCACCACATTTTTTAGGTTATTTCTTCATAGACAGAAAACATATTACAGTCATTCCTTATAATTTAATTCTAAATTCCATTTTTAAGGAGTAAATTATGAAAAAAAAACCGTTGATGACGTCACGGTCACAGGACAAAATTATGTCTATGAGCGGATAGACAAAAAACTTTCAGCCAATCAGAAGAATGTAATAGAACTTTGTGTTTGTTTCATGCCTCTTTTTAGTTTTTTTTTTCACTGAAATAATGTAAGTCATAAGCATCATCTGTTAATTTGATTGGTTTATCAGGTAAAGGAACGATTTGTAGAAGATAACACAACTCCTTTTTTATCTGATTGTCTTTCCTTGTTAAATTTAAGTTAAATTGGAATGTGAACATACCAAACATCTGATGAATATCATAATACTCATTCTAATGCTATTCGTTTGGAACGATCATTTTCATTGGACGTTGACAAATAGTTTCTACCGGTCCGTAACTAAGGAAAGCCACCATTCTGAATATCAATTTTTTTTTAGTATGTGAATTCTCAAAAAATTAACAAAAAAGTAACATTTTGTGCTTCACGATCTTATTTTTGTCAATATTTAAACCATTCAGAAGGGTACGAAAAGTATAAATGTTTTTATTATACTTCACGTTAAAATGCCAGATTTTGATTGGCTTATACGAGGGAGATAATTTACTCTATCCCATGGCTCAGCGGGAGACAATTTTTTGAATGTCACCCTCTCGTGCAGACCAATCAAAATCGATAATTCAAAGGAAAATGAATTTAATTTACATCAATAATTTTAAAGACAGTGCTCGAGTTCTACGTTTTAGCCTCAAAACCTTCGCCTCGGTTGACAATGTTTATTCGGGGTAACAATCTGCTCTATCACCCTCTCAGTTATGTGTTATTTATATAATGTTTGACATCGGGAGTATACCTATGACGTCACATTGTTTAGATGTCAAAGACCCCGTTCGCACTAGCATTTTTTAATCGATCTAAATTTGAATCGATCTAAATAAAATGAGTTAGCGTTCTTTCACATCATCGTTAATCCTAACGATCTCTAAAGGTCTAATTAATCTGAACCACTGCGTTCACACTACAAGTAAACATGCAATCGGTTTGAACTAGTTACTGGTGAAACACTCTGTATGAATAGAAATATTTAATCAAATTAATGTGTTGATACACACGCTTGCAAAAAGATAATGGATCAAGATATTATTTCACATGAATTACAAATTCAAATGTTGATATTGCTGTTCTAATAGTTTTCGTTAATTTCCAGCCCTTTTATATATGTTGGTCATCCGTTTTGTAATAAGTTGCACGTGTAGTTTTGCCGTCATACAGGCGCACAAAATGTTTTCAATTTAATCGTATTAGTTTAGATCGATCTCTTCGTTCGCATTTAAAGTTAGATCGGTTCACTTTAAATGTGAACGCAGAGATCGATCGAAACTAGTACGATTGAATCGAAAATAATTTGTGCGCATGTATGGCGGCAAAATTACAATAACTTCATCCATTATTTTTTTGCAAGCGTGTGTATCAACACTTTAATTTGATTAAATATTCCTATTTATACACAGTGTTTACAATTTCACTGATAATAAGGTCGGATCGATTGCATTTTTACTTGTAGTGTGAACGCAGTCGATAGAGATCGTTAGTAATGAGAACGCTAACTGGTTTTATTTAGATCGATTCAAATTTAGATCGATTAAAAAAAAGCTAGTGTGAACCTTAGTGTTTTAGTTTAGACCGATTCAAGATCGATTCAAATCGTTCACATTGAACTTAAATCGATCTTATGTAAACCGATCTAGTTTAAATCGATCTAAATGTCCAAGTGTGAACGGGGTCTAAGACGATGTAACGGTTTCGCGAATTTTTTCATTTATGGCAGTTTAAAGCCAAAATATTTACTAAAATGGAATTTATTTCAAGCGTGGCCTTCGTTGAAGTTCAATTAAGTTTTATGTATGTTTCCTATGCATTGTTGTAATGTTGTCATGGAGAAATTTTGCATGTTATTGAAAAATGACATAATATTGGAATGCCTTTTGATTGTTGTCTGCCAGTCAAATTATGGATTCTTATGAATCATCCATGTAGTCTAATTAATATTTTTAAAAGTGTGTTAATATATATACAATGTAGTCTTCCTAAAAAAAAAAGGATTTATTTATATAATAAACTAGTGACCTAACACAACTTCGATTATTATTTAAAGAAATGGAGTTGAAGGTAAATGATTTTCAAAAAGGGATTTTGCTCATTGTTGAAGGCCTTACAGTGACCCATAGTTGTAAACTTCTACGTCATTAGGAGGGTTGTCTCATTGGCAATCATACCACCTCTTCTTATTATTTTTATATCCATTGGTACACACGATCAGTTTTATGTTTACTTGAATCCTACCATTGCAATACAAACTTTCTATTAGTTTGGACCATAATCCTTATCCTTTTCTGCAACTGCCACTATAGTTAAGACTGAAAGCAGTTTAGTTCAGTCTTATTTATCATATTACTGTGGATTAATTTCTTTTCGTGAATACAAAATTAATGTTCGATGATTGAGGAAAAATTGTAATTTCATGGAGATTTGATTTCGTGGTTTTGCCTAAGCCTCCCTACAGACCAATAGAAAAATGTGTGTTTTAGTGGACATTCTAATTCAAGGTTTACCTATAACCATGAAATCCACGAAAATTGGTATCTTAGGAATAGTATTGAATCCACACCATGTGAATTTAACTTTTCTTATGTTTATAGCTACATTGTACTTTAATATATATATATCATCCAAACAATGTGATAAAACAGTTAAGAAATTTTTTTAGGGAACAGTAGAGTTTGTAACGTATTTGCAAAACTGTTGAACAGAAGATTTAACACATAAATAGTTTATTCATTTCACCATTGAAATGTGGGATTATTATACAAAAAACAAATGGTTTATGAACTATTATATGTAAACCAGGAATTGATTTGCATTTTTTTCACATGTTCATGGTAGTTCCTTGGAGTTCGGTATTTTTGTTATTTTACTTTTCAATATTTCGCCTTAAAAATAAATTAAGAACCCTTCTTACGAAATTCAAAAATTTAAAACGAAAGACTTTAGAAAGAACTATTGCACAAAATTTAATATAAATACATTTTACATGCACATGTATTTAAGCTAGAATTGCCATAAGATAATCAAGTACACAATCCTTTACCCAATCAACCCTTTCAATTTTCGATTGTTTACAGTATGCGAGTTCATCTTTCGCAGGTGTGCTTGGGCGGGGCTTGAAAGTTTATTTGAGGTCGAAGGTTTGAATTGACCAATGACAACGATCGTTCCTGTTTTGGTTTATCTAAAAGATTTGTTTGACTGATTATGTCGCACGACCTTTCGCTAAGCTTGGCCGCAGTTACAATAGAATTTGTGTTTACAGTTTGATTTCAGCCTAATCTAATTAAACTATAGATCTCTGATTTCGTTATGACGACGAGTAAGCGAGTTCCGATAGATCTGAATTTTAATCAGAACGATGGCGGGCAGTAATTATCATAGGTTGTCGAATATAACTACGGTAAGTTCGGTATAATAAATCTATAAATAAGTGTTAAAAAAAGCCAAAATTTTCTAAGATATTCCTTACATTTAAATTACGAAAATGTTTTAGAACATTTCGTTTCTTTTGCTTGGTTTTATCGTATTACCAAAGACTTCTGCCATACGATCAAAGTTGCCCACACATATATATACCTATATTTGACATGACATGGCATGTCAATAATAATAATAGTAATAATAATAAATTCTTTATTTATAGAGGGTAACTCAATTAGAACTAGTCTAATTTTCATTCAGGCTCTCACACAAAATACATGTATACAGTTTACATTCATACATCAAAATACAACATATATATATATATATATATATATAAACAAGTCTAAATTGAAAACAACGTTCAAACCTATGATTGCGTTGGATAAAAACCGCAATTTTTATACGTGTACATGCAAAACAAATTTCTTGTTAGAGGGGAATAAATACAGCACAAACAACATTTTCCAAAAGACCAAAAAAGTGAAAAAGTATATTTTAACAAAACGCATTTGACTAACAGGTCGAACAACAAATGTTCTTAAACCCTGCTGACTGCCATTGGCGATTGCCAAATAAACGGATCACCGATGTAATAAATGGAATTATAAATTTAATACTAAACAGAAAACAATAAACTATATATATATATATATAAATTAAGAAATAATTCATGTAAGCAAAAGATTTGTCGGACATTTACACATGGCCTGGTCTGTGATATTCGTTAATTTTATCCAAATTAACGAATATCACGGCCCAGGCCATATGTAAATGTCCAACAAATCTATGGCTTCCATGAATTATTTCGATTCTAATAGTCCAGATACGGTAATTTAAAAACTGAAGCGAAGGTAAGATTGCGGTAAGTATGGCTGTTCTAATTTACGCCCTGTAAGATAAAAGCTACACATGTCAAATAAATTTAAGTCTTGTATGGATTATATCTTAAATAACCACTAGAAAAAATGTGTTCAATCCTTATAATTCTTAATCCAAACATTTTTTTTCGTTGGCTACTATTTACTGTCAAATCCACAGTTGATATGTCGTAACTAAGGAGTGAGCCACCATGTTGACTTGCTGAAATCCACAAATGTGCGAATAATGCAATAGAATAGAAAATAAAACAACACCTACCTCAAAACTCCATTTTAATGCGATATTATCCGAACGTAGGGCGTATACGTAACGGAAAACCTTTACCTTGAGTTTTTTCATTCGTATGATGTCATGTTATGACATGACGTGAATGCACCAAGATCGTTCATGAAATTTCGCGGAATTTAAATTTTGTTTTGATTTATACATTTTTTTAGCTCTTGTTCATTAATTCTTTTTGTTATGCATTAGAATAAGAATAACGGTTCTGTAGTTTCTTTTTCAATTACAATTTGAACACAACGAAATCGACATAGTGTTTGCACATAGGTTACGATACATGTGGATTTACATGGGAGGTAAATAGTAACAGCCATCAATATGTACATCTCTGAGTCTGCGCTAAGTATAGATATATCGAGAATTTTATCACGCTGTTGTTTACAAAGCGAAAGAAGCGCGTCATATTAGAATCAATCATTTGTTCATAGATTTAAATGGCAACAATTAATAAAGTTTTCATATTCTAACCATAAAAGAAAAATTATGTAAAAATCCGTTCTTTTTTAATTTTGTAGGTTTGTAGTCATGGTGAAGATGATACTATAAGAATTGAAATTAAAGACGAAAATATCGAAATTCCTTGCCAGGAAAAAGATCCAAATAAACTGGAAAATTATGATGATTTTCGATGTAAGTGTAAACCGTTGTCTCATATAAAAGTGAAACGAGAAGCTGTTCAAGACAACTTCCACCATTTTCTGGTGTTGGCAATCTCTAAAGTATCTGATGGGATAGATGCTGTCACCATCGGACAATACACAAGCTCGGCTGAAATTGGGATGGAGAATTATGATGGCATCGGTAAATTTGTACAGCAGACATTCTTGATGGAAGAAATCGACAATTATACACATACACATGCTATTTTAAACTTTGAGCAGGGTGTATTCTTAGTTGAACAGGAGAACTATATAAGTACAAGAAAAGAAATTGAGGAAGCTTTTAATCGTCTCAGTGAGAGAAAGTATGAAATATCATCAAATAATTGTGAGCACGCAATAAACTATATTTTATCCGGAAAGAGTGTCAGTTATCAAGCAGACACAAACACTTGCTCCAGGATCTGTTTTATTGATTTGATCAACATTTTAATAATAGACTGTAAAGAAGTAGGACTCAAAACAGCTTTGTTAGTAGCTGCCCTCGGCGCCATTGCTGGTGCATTGGTGCGTAGAGCTTACGTTAAAGTAATTGTTGCAGCTATTGTCAGCCTTACCGTCGAAAGTAGAATTATTAAATGTGGGGACAAAGAGGAAGCAATATACGCAACGAAGCGGATATCAGAATAGGCTTGGCTGCTCATTTGCCCTATATCCATGGTGCTTTTAAAAACACAAGTAGTGCTATCCTTGACGAAATGAAGAATCACACTGATACGAATTTTATTTGTAATATTGCAGAGAAATTTATTTATGAAGCAGCCCTGACGACGTGTTTGGCGACTGTTGCTGTCTCTACAGGAATATAAACTATACTATTTTTGTCTTTCGTATTTAACAATTCAATTTCAAGGAGACGAAAGAAAACATTGGAAGATAGACATCTATGTCGGCTGTTGTTCTTGCAATTTTTTGCACGATATGGCTCTATTGGAATTGCTGTAGTTTGTGGATTTTTCGCATTTTTAGACTTTAATCGTCCTGCATTATCTTTCTTTGGAATTGTATTTGGTTGTTGTCTGGTTTTTCGATATATTTTGACTTTATATTTTAAACGTCTGCTGTTATCAGCATTGCTGGACCTGTTATCAGTCAAGCTGTTGTAAATGTTTCGAGGCCAGTTGTCATTGTAGATGCTATAAATGTGATTTGAACACCGTTTGCTTTATTTTTTCAACTTCAGTAATCTTTATATCTGTTGCGTGTTAAGTTGTTAATGTTTTCTGGGACGATTAATTAAAACAATGGGCTTAGGTCGGTGAATGGGTGTTGAAGAAAGGGAGAGCAAAAGGGAGAAGTCCAACTTTTTAGGACATTATCATTGTATTTAAATGAAAAAGAACGATTATTTTGAAATGTATCTTATCAGAATTATTTAAATACAAATGCATTAACTGTAAATAATTTTAGACCTTTGCGTTAGCTAAAACACTTCTGGTATATCGATCCCTTTTCAATTGATAAAGATAACTGCAAGTAACATATGAAACCTAGAAGTGAAATGAATCCCTTATAAACTCAAAAACAGTCTTAAGAATGTAATTGAATTTTGTGTTTGTTTCAAGCCTCCACAATATTATGTGTTTTATGTCTGAAATAATGTAGTCCTTATGGTAATTATTTGTCATCATTTGTTAATTTGATTGCTTTTTGCAGGTAATGGAACAATTTGTAGAAGATAACAAAACTCCTTTTTTATCTAATTGTCTTTTTCCTTGTTTTAACTAAAACTTGGAAGTTAAATTGAAATGTGAACATACAAAACATCTGATTAATATCATAATACTCATTAACTTTTTATATAAAAAACACTAAACAAATTGTTTGTAGAATTTTCTAAGTTTTATATATTGCTGTTCATATCACTTTAATGATATTCCTTGCTTTTATTTTAACTTTTGCCTTCTAAGTGTGTATAATCTAGATAAAAATGTACTATAAAAGTATTTTTGTTTATGGAGTGCAAAAAAAAAGTAAAATAACAAAAATACCGAACTCCAAGGAAATTCAAAACGGAAAGTCCTTCATCAAATGGTAAAATCAAAAGCTGAAACACATCAAACGAATGGAAAACAACTGTCATATTCCTGACTTGGTACAGGCATTTCCTTATCTAGAAAATGGTGGATTAAACCTGGTTTTATATCTAGCTAAACCTCTCATTGTATGACAGTTGCATAGAATTTCATTATATTGACAACAATGTGTGAGCAAAACAAACAGACATAATAGGTAAAAATGTCAAAAATTGGGGTACAGCAGTTAACATTGTGTTATAATCTTAATCACTATAAAAACAAATAACAAAGACAAATAAAAAGAACATTATAACACGTTATTAACTTAGATGAAAAACAACGTCAGTACCTAGAATCTATACTTCAAGATCATTTTAAGGGATTCCATGGGTCCGTTCAGCTACAAAATTAATTACACTAAATATTACATATTTTCCATTGAGTGCGAATATGTTTATCTTAAAACCATAAATCGAAAACAACGAAGGAACCAAATATGTTTTCACAATCCACAAAAATTGACACCCAATAAAGACCAGTACTCCTACAGTAAATGATATGCGAATTATATCTAATTACTGTGTATTTAATGATTGCATGGTTCTTTCTGTAATTTAATTGGGATTTAAAAGCATTGATTGAAACAAATTTTGTTTGAAGCATGGAAGCTCTATACAAAAAAATGCGTGTCCTTTGACAACTCCATAAAAGTACAGTAAAGAAGCATTCAATTCTTATTTTACATGTCTTTGTTATTACCTTCACGTTAGATTAAGTTTTTTGTATGTTTACTATGCATTGTTGTAATGTTGTCATGGAGAAATAATGCATTTTATTGAAAAATGACATAATATTTGAATGCCTTGTGATTGTTGTCTGCCAGTCAAATTATGGATTCTTATGAACCAGCCATGTAATTTAATTAATTCATTTAAAAGTGTGTTAATATATATACATTGTAGTCTTCATAAAAAAAGATTTATTTATATAATAAACTGGTGACCTAACACAACTTCGATTATTATTTTAGAAAATGGAGTTGAAGGTAAAGGATTTTCAAAACGGGATTTTGCTCATTGTTGAAGGCCATATATATAGACCCATAGATATTAACTTCTACGTCATTTGGAGGGTTGTCTCATTGGCATTCATACCACCTTTTTTTAATTATCAACCATCAAAGTAATTACTTATTTCTTTCACACCGGACAAAAACCCTAGAAATAAGAAGTTCTAGATTATTGCGTTTTTCGAATGAACCAGATCGATATAGTCTCTCTCTATTGCTTGTTTTGAGGCGAATCTTTATCGATTGACATATGTAATGTGGCCGTGAAATTACAATAAATGTTAAGACGGTTATTTAAGTTTCTTTTAATAACAACTTTTAAGTTATATCTCCGGAAATATGAACCGTCTGTCGAGGTCGAACGTCTTGTTTTATACCCTCACAAACTTAGAAAAATGTAATTTGGTCATTTTGTGCATTCGAGGATAAAACGATGTACATATTTGTATCAAACTATTTTTTATTATATTTTTTTTATAAATTAATCCTACAGAAGAGCATATAAGATAACTTGAGCGTCTTTTTTCAGTTTTTAGCTAAGATAACTTTGGATGCAACCCCTGACCCAGACAAGTTTTGAGTCTATATATTCAATACAATCTTGGGACTCTTGAGTTGCAGAACATTTTGGATCGTAGATTGCGGCCAAAGTTTTCTTTGGATCCTGTACCCTTATGCAGTGATTTGTTTTAAGGCTTTTGAAATTGACCCATTGAAGGACCAAAGTGTGGCCTTGTGATATTTATCTGAAATGATTTATAATTGGATTTCTGAAGACTGGTATAAGGATGAATGTCGATCATTTATGTGACAACCACCACCCTTACCACAACCACAAAATATTATGAATAAAACCATCAATAGATCATTTACGAAATAATCAATATTAGACACATATTATGCCCATCAATGTACACCTTTATATAATTCTGGAATCCTTTAACAATGTATTTGGACAATCCATCGTGAATAATATTAAATAATTATATATAAGATTCATGACATATTCCTGTTGTAAATGCATGTACTTGACCCGTAACATTGCAGACTACAATAGTATTTGTGTTAAAGTTTGATTGCAGACCGATTGCAGACCAATCTAATCAAAATATAGATATCTGATTTCGTTATGCTCATTTCAATGTAAAAAATATGTTTTTTGTTACAAATATAGTGTATTGTTTTGTGTGTATATATGTCATGCTGCCAATCAAGGGCCCTTAATTGGAACAATACATATTCTTGTAACATGAATGGTAATTTTTCCTTTGATCTTCGACGGAGTTAAATTCTGTTATATTTAGAGGAGTGCGTTAACTGAATGATATTTTAGTAATTGCATTCTCCTGTCCCGCCGTGTGTCGCTTGTCATAGGAAAAACAAAGAATGGGAAGAGCTAAGACCAGTGCTCTAACTTCCATCTCAGAAGTAGTTATTCACTATCTAGCTCCACCTCCTTGGCCTACGAAACAATGAAATCAATGACCATAAAAGGTCCTAATACATTTGAACAAAATGTATACACAACAATAAATTAAAAAAAATAGGGGGGTACTCTAACACAAGCCAAATTTGTAATCCTAACCATAAATTAAAAACGGTTCCCTATACTCGAAACAAATGAATGCCCGATGAGAGCTACAAAAAGGAATAGTGTGGTCTATAAACGAAGAGGCGATATTGATAAGTTGGTGGATACTTGTTTTCATCGTGTCAAAATAAATATTCCCCAAAAATGTCACTGGATTTTTAGTCGTTTCATTTCCTCCACGTTTTAAAGGTATATATGTCCGTTTAATTCAGCATGCTAAAGATGTATATCTCTGCACCTTACGCAATCAACAGCCCATCTAATAATCGATCATGTTCATGGTTGGGAAAGGCAGAATACGTTTCCTTCTTTACCTGTTCTAAAACTGCACATTCTATTGGTTTTGAAAGCAGACATCTAACAAGATTTTGCATCTATCCCCTCAAGACTTTTCGCCGGTCAATCAAGTAAATCACGGTAGGACTTTCTTTCAAGATATTATTGTGTCTGGGAGACACAAATGATGCCTCCGCAGATGCGTAGTGTTTTTTTAAAATACACAAAGTTAAGCATGGGAGCACAAAGGTCTATGGTTCACTGTAGGAGGAGTTATCCGGAAACGCTATGCACCTCTTATGCAAGTAAATACTCCAAAAAATGACAAAGTTCAACTATCTCCCAAAAGAGCAAATATTAATAAAAATCGAAACCCTGACCACATACAAACCTTCAATATATGTAAAAACAGACCGCAAAGTGAAAACTTCCTAGCATTCAAACTGTAGGAGGAGTTATGCGGAATAACTATATACCCATAATGGGACGGACCGACAGAAGGTCGGAAGGACGGAAAGACGGAAGGACAGAAAGACGGAAGGACAGAAGGACGGAAGGACAGAAGGACGGAAGGACGGACGGACAGACGGACAGGGATAAAATAATATGTCCCCCAACTTTTAGTTGCGGGGCATAAAAAAGATGTATGACAGATGAAGATCGATGAACCCACGATGCCTTTTATACCATACTATATGGGTATTACTCGTTGTCGAAGGCTGTACGGTGACATCATACAGTTGTTTACATCTAGGTCCTTTGTATACGTTTAAAAATTTCGTCATCGCGGCAGTCGTACAGCATGTCAAAATTTTCTTTTTTTTAATGCACATCATCATGCCTTTATTTCTGTCCTTTTAAAATTTCATTTGACAAATTAACAAACCTCTCTGTATTTCTGACCGTATTTCCTTTTTTTTGTAAAAAGTTTTGCATCGCTTGTTGACATCAGGAGGTGCTCTCAGACATGCCCGCTTTCCAATATCGTCAAAATAGTTTTTCATGCGTTAAAAACTGCGCACTTGTAAATTGCAGAACCACCTTAAGGGTAGTGTTGAGAACTTCTTTATGTGCCTGTCCAAAGTCAGGAGCATGTAATAGTCCTATAATATATGAACTCGGGGGCATTATTTTCTATTTCTGTAAATTTCTGATATTTGTTTT